CTTCACATTCATCTTCAACCTTAATATTTTCTTTAATGCCCAAGGCCAACTGCCTTCTTTCACGGCATTCTGCTTAATCCTCCCAGTATTTATTATTAACACTTTCTGTGAGTACACTTTCTGTGAGTGTCCAGTTTTCTATATAAGTATTTTACTTTAACTTTATTTTTTTTACCCTTTATTCCATCTTTATGTTCTTGTAATTTATTCTTTAGGTTCTTGATTTTTAATTTACTCAAAAACCTCCCTTTGGAAATCCGAACATTTCCGTCCATATATTTAATTTAGACAGACTGTTTTCACCATTTCTGCTCGCATGACATCTACAATCGAACCCTCAGGACAGTGTACTCGTCCCCTCTGCTTTGCTCCCATGACAAAGTCTCTAGATGTTACCAAACCACCCCTGAAAAATCAAGGGGTGTTTAAACACCTTTCTTTTTTTTTCATCCGTCGATGATGTGATATTAGTTTCTCAGTACAAATCACGCAAAAACTGATCGTAAACCCACGATCTACGACGGGATAAACCCTATCTTCGAGCAGTCCCTCTCATAAATGTCATGGAGTTTTAATTACATTTAACTTTAAACAATTTAGACACTGCACTTCTTACCCAGTATTGAAAAGCCTTTTTAAGTCCGTTGGATCTCGTGAAGTCAATCAGTTCCACCCCCGGCGCTGGTCCTCTCGTCCCATACGGTTTCTGTCGGGGTAGAGGAGGATCCGCGGATCCTGGAGCATGCCACCACCAGCGTCCGTAGGTGTCCCCAATCGAACTTGCAGAGACCCTGCTCGCAGCGCCAATTTTTATGGAAATCTAAAAACCCCAATACTGTAGAGTACAAGTCAGAGTGATCAAAACAAATAAATGGTGAATCAGACAGAGTTGTCTTTCTGGTGATGTTTATTTGAAGCTTCAAATAAACATTAGATACAATAAAATATAGACACAGGTCTCATAGAGTATAAAATAGTCTGCGCGAGTGTGCGCAGTTCAATATGGTAGCAAGGCATATATACAGGAATAAGTGGGAAGTGCAGAAATCTGTCTTCACACCGAACACAACTTGCTTTCTGAGATGAAGAGAGTTGTGTTGACTCTGAGCTGCAGACATCAGGTTGATATCACTCTGATCCTCACTGAGCATCTTAATGCTAAAGTCTACTTTCTTCTTCTGTGGTTTAGTTCACTGACTGTGGCAGAGCCATGTTGAACTTTAAATATAAATATCACTTCCTTCACTGCATAATTCCCTCTAAAATATAGAGTCTAAACCTTTAAACACCTGAATCACATCTTATTTTCCCCATAATGATTTTAACAAGTGATTTGAAATACAATAATTAAATATGTTTATTAAAACCATAAAACACTAACAAGTATTTTCAGTTGTTGCTGTTTCCAACATGTCTCTGAAGCTACACGATGCTTTACTGACTGAATAGTTTACACCAGGCAACCCCTGGCACACGTGCCACCATTGGCACGCGGCACCGTAACCAGTGGCACACTAGCAATAAGTGGAATAAGTGTGCAAAATATAAAAATTGTATTTTCGGATCCTGAACGAGACCGCCGCCAGAGCGCGTTTCCCCGTTACCTGCAGAAGGAAGCCATGCACGCAACGCAGCCCCGCTCTCTTTATCTCCAGGTGACTTTCTGCCGCTTTCCTCCGTGGTGCTGATCATTTCACCATGGAGGAAAGCACTTCACAAATTGTCGTACCCATAAGGAGCTGTAACAATGCAGTAGTTTTTGCGTGGCGATCGATATCAGCCGATACTCTCTCTACCGATCGATCGGGCGCTCTAAAAATGCCGATCGCGAGAGCCGATCGCATGACGTAAAATGATGACGTAAAATACATGACACTTTTCTCTGTGCGCGGCAAAACAAGCTCGCCAAAATGTGACGGAGCGAAACACACACTAAGAGTTAGACCTAACACACTTTTACTTTTACATGTTATCTAGGCCAGTGGTTCCCAAACGGTGTGCCGTGAGGCAAGTCCGGGTGTGCCGTGGGATTTTGTGACAACCATACGTTATTATTGCAATATACAACTACACAAAAATAATTACTTTTTAATTGACTATATCAGTACTTTGTAGGTTTATATGTACGTAATCTGCGTATCTTGCACGTCCACATCTCCACGTGCAGTGCTGCATAAACATGGCTGAGTCAGCGATAACTCTCGAGGGGTGGAGGTCTGCCCATTATTTTGAGTTTGTCCGAAGAATAGACAGGAATGTGACGGTGAGGTGCAAACTGTGTCCAGGCCAGAAGCTGTTATCCACTGCTGGAAACACCACGTGGTCAAACCTCAACAAACACCTGCAAAGAACACATGCTAAGGTGAAGCTACCGCACACGCTATTTGTTGTTTGTTTATATCACGTAGTCTGTTCTTCTTCTCTGTCTTCCGGTTGTTCAATTCTGTTAAATTCAAAACCTTTATTTATCAGGTAAAATCCCATTGAGATCAATGATCTCTTTTTCAAGGGAGACCTGCAGCAGTAGGTTCCACAAGAAGACATAAACAACAGAACAACAAAAGGACATCATACAGCAAAATGTACAGGGATTACAATTTACATATTTAACCACATGTACAGGTACCAACAGCATCTGATTGAGTAGCATCCAACCGAGCTTTAAAAACATGTAGTGGTACTAGCTTGGTAATGTTCCATTCTTTTTGCAGACTGTTCCATGTTAGTGGAGCTGCACATCTAAAAGCTTTCTTCCCTAAGACAGTCCTAGCACTTGGCACATTTAATAAAACCACAGCATGCGATCTCAGGCAATAAGTACTTTCAATTGGCAGAGAGATCAGGGAGCAGATATAAGATGGTAGTTTATCCAACATGGCTTTGTAAATGAAAAAGTACCAGTGACTGAGCCTCCGTACAGTAAGTGATGGCATAACCGCCTTGGTATACAGGGTACAGTGATGCGTAAGTGCTTTACAATTTGTCAAAAATCTCAGTGCACTGTGATACGCAGCATCTAACTTGCTCAGGCAATAGGCAGGTGCATTCATATATAACAAATCACCATAATCCAGCACAGGTCAAAAGGGGACAGTGACTAGCCTTTTCCTGGCCTCAAGCGAGAAACAGGACTTGTTCCTGTAGAAGAAACCTAGCCTAACCCTCAGCTTTTTAAGCAGGTTATTGACATGAAGTTTAAAAGTAAGACAGTCATCAAGCCAGATACCCAAGTATTTGTAACAGGTAACCACTTCAAGTTGTATTCCTTGCGTAGTTACAATATCCAAAGCAGTCTCTGGTGTCTTTTTAGCTTTAGCTTTAGAAAAGTGCATTACCTTGGTTTTAACCACATTTAAAAGAAGCTTAAGCTCAGAGAGCTGAGCCTGAATAATGTTAAAAACAGCCTGTAATTTAACAACAGCCTCGTTAATCGAGGGACCTGCACAGTACATAACGGTATCGTCCGCATACAAATGCAAAGTTGCTCCTTGTTGCCTGTTTTGAATGACAAATACACACTACCGCCGACTGCTGGTAAGGAAAGTTATTGCCACTCACGCATGCGCAAGTTCGTACGTGCTCGGCGAGTAAAGTAACGAGTAAAGTAACAAGTTACTTTATGTAGATAGTAACGAAGTAGTGTAATATATTACTTTTTTTAAAGTAATATGTAATATTTTACATTTTTTTAGTAACGACCCCATCTCTGGAGTTGGCGTTCTTTACTCTGATTTACATGAAGAACAACAGGAGGTCACGGGACTCACGGCTCTCTGTTGAACAGGACTTGCGAGTGGCCCTCTCCTCAGTGCCACCAAGGATTAACAAATTCTGCGCTCCCCGACAGGCACATGTATCTCACTAATTTGTAAGTCGGCATGTTTCAATGCTGATTGCTGAAATGTTAATTGTGTGACCTGTCTGGTTTAAATGAGTGTGTTGCTGCTTTGATGAAGCCTAATTTGATAAAGTTTCAAATTAATTTCTGAAATATTTCATGAGTAATATAGTTGTCTTTGTCACATTTTATTTGGCATTAGTAAAAAGTCATTCTGACTTATGCTCTTTGTAAACGTTGTGAACTTGAGTTGAATGAGTTTCTGAGGGTTTGTGTAGATGGAGCAGAGTTTCAGATGTGAAGTAGAAGCACGTTGTGTTTAATATGAATGAGAAGTCTGTGTACCTTCACTTTAATGCACTCTCCTTCCAAAACTATTAAATAGAAAAGTGACTGAAGGGTATTTTTTTATGTGACTAAAAGCTCAAATGATCATAGTAGCGAGTCCTTCTGAAGCCCTACTGAAGCCACGTCTGCTTCAGCTGATCAGCTGTCAGCTTTAACAGCTCTACACACTTTGGACAGTTTGCTCACATGTGCACTCTGCTCATGCTAATATAATGCTCTCAGTTATCATGAAGCAGCAGCAGGGTGTTACCTGTTTAACACACACCTGCTGACCATCAACCACCTGCATCTCATCTTTGTTCTGTGTCCTGCTTAGAGGCACGGGATGCATCTAACCTGGCAGAAAGAGTTCATCTTAGCCTACCTATTCATTACCTGAATCTCTACTGAGGGATATTCTGATCGTGAATGTATGATTTATTAACCTAGAATAAGAGTGTTTTTCTTGAGATGACTTATTAGGGTCTGAGAGCAGAGGTCGGTGAAGACCCTATTGACCCTGCCAAACACACACAAAAAGCACACAAAAAGAGTCCGAAATCATGACGGCAGATAGCTCGCTACATTACTGATATCGATAGGATAATTATTATTTTAATGTACATATCAAAAGTGCGGAGAAGAACCAAAAAGCCTTTGGAGGTGTATACAAATACGTACTAGAAGTCAGCCATTTTGAATTTGCCGTTGGAAAAATGTTCAACTGGAGTTTCCACTTTCTGAACTCCTTCAGCTCTGAGCTGATTATTAAACCTGGAGGTATTTCAAACAGGAACCATGTTTTCTAAAGTTACATCATGTTTTCTGTATTCAGACTGAGGAGCTGCAGGTTGTCAGAGATCAGCTGTTCTGCTCTGGTCTCAGCTCTGAAGTCCAACCCCTCCCACCTGAGAGAGCTGGACCTGAGTCACAACGCTCTGCAGGATTCAGGAGTGAAGCTGCTGAGAGATCTTCTGGAGAGTCCAGACTGCAGACTGGAGACTCTCAGGTCAGTTCACTGACTCTGTTACTGCTGGAGATCTCATGTTTCATGAGCTCTTCCTTATCTTCCAGCTCTTCCTTAACTTTCTTACAGTGCAGACGCTTTTCTGCTTGCTCTTGCCTCTGCTTACTTCTTATGCTGATTTTCCTATTCTTATTCTCTGAAAACTTCGAGCAGCGGCTCCTGGACATTAACTTATCACTGGGACAGTTCATCTTCGTAAATAGACGGAGGGTTTCAGCCATATTTCAACATGTTTACGACGACCTCAGTCTTACAGTAGCGTGGCCTAGCAACAGCTAAAGCCTGGTAGGCTACTGCATGCTATTTAGCTTAAGCTAGTTGGTAGCAAAATGCCTCCGTTCTCTACAGATGACTTCCACAAACTTATAGAGAAGATAGCTGTGTTGGAAATGAAAATGCAACGGTTGGAAGTTAACGTGGAAGTGAATGGACTATGTCGTGGGAATGACACCACTTCACCAGTGTTGCAAAATAATGGACAAAGGCATGCTAACTCAAAGCTAGTTAGCAGCTACAAGGATTCCAAGGAACAGGAGGGCTGTGTACCGGGTAATACATCTACAAGTGGTAGTCCTCCCTGGAACTCTCTGGGTGCAAAGCCTAAGAGTAAATCATTTCCATGGGATTTGGGAGGACGGATAACAGGCAGAGCCCAGCGCTCCGAAATCTGTGATGCGACCGGCTGGCCTGCATTGTTATCACCCAGGAAGAGCGCCTCTTCAACCCCTATTCATACTAGGAAACAGCAGTGGACAGCTGCTAAAGGGAGAACTACAAACAATCCTCCTAAACCACCAAGTGTGCCAATCCAGAACAGATACGCTCCGCTGACCGAGAACCGGAGATCTGATGACCTGGATAACCTGTCCTCTTCACGCAGCAGGGTAAGGACCAATAGCTACTCCAAAAGTAAAAGGCTAGAGGGAAAGCTAACGACTGGGCCTGAAACTCTGATTGTGGGTGACTCTGCTGTAAGAGATGTAAAAGGTCTGTGTAATAAGAACAACACCAAAGTACTCTGTTTTCCCAAGGATGTGGTCTCTGACTTGGCTGAGAAGATCCTGCATATTGGGGCTGAACATCCGACTGTGAAGAATGTGGTACTGCACATTGGAACAAATGATGTTGTGAAACAACAGTCAGAAGTGCTGAAAAAAGACTTTAAAATGTCCGTTGGAAACTGCCAGCTCTCTAAATGCAGAGGTGTTCATCAGTGGCCCTCTACCGCCAGTCAGAAGAGGAGTGGAGAGATTCAGCAGATCGTTTGCACTGAACACCTGGCTTTCGACGGCCTGTACTGACCATTCTGTTCATTTTATTGACAATTTTAACTTTTTCTGGGATCGCAGACATCTTTTCAAGGCAAATGGAGTTTGCCTGAACAAGTCAGGAGTGAAATTGTTTATCTCTAACATATTCAACTGCCTGCGTCCTCAATCTGTTCCCTCTGCCAAGGACAAGCGGCAAGAGGAATCAAAACAGGAGAAAGACACAACACATCACGCAGAAAACCCTGAAGAATTATCACTGCACCCGCCTGAGGAATGTTCTGATTATGGGAGACCTATGAGACACATGGAGGAGTCTCCACTGCCCCCCCCCCCCCCTGTCAACGCCTTTGAGGATACTCCATTCACCCTTTCACCCTCGCCCACCCTCCTGGGGATCGTTGAACACATGAAGGAGATACAGAGGGTTGGCACCGATTCCTTCCTGGAGTTCAATAACCAAACTAAGGCGATACGCAGGGCTGGCAGCATGTCCTTTACCCCCGCTCCTCAACGACGCCCACCAAAATCACTGAAGCAGAGACGCGCACCACCTCCCCCGTCTTTATCAAGAAAGCATCTGCAGTCTCCGAAGCCTGATAAGGATGTGTGTGTACTAGGGGTGTTGAAAATAATCGTTTCTACGATGCATTGCGATACGGACGTGGACGATTCGGTCTCGATGCAGTGACGGAAGATAATCGGTTATAGCGTAGTAACGTTGCTTCCTGATTTTCCGGCCGCGGCTTTACTATAACGTTTATTTTTTCTGTCACTTTAATATCAAATCGGTCGGTGACGCAGAGATCAGGGAACAGACGTGACAGCGGCACAGCAACACCAAACACGGAGCAGTCTGCTTTATCCACCAACACAAGAACACCAGTCCAGAACCAACAGCAGCAGGACCCGCTCTGAATCACTCCGTGTCGCTGCGGCTCAGAGACACAGGGATTTATGTTTTTCAAAAATAATCGCGTTACAATCATGTCCGGTTTTTGGTGGATTTAATTAAGTCTTGGATTGCAGAGTATGAATGCCCTCTAGCAATTTTCAGACGATATATACGTGTCGTGTGTAAAGTTTGTGAAGGCAGGAGGAAAAAAGCTTCCGCGATCACCGTCTCCTCTGTTCCTCTAAGCCCCGCCCCCTCCCTGAAAATAATGAGTGACAGGCTGATAGTGACCCGATAGAAACTTTATTATTCACTTAATCACTGAGATTTAATGAAGCTAACTTACTCTCATACATTCATGGGATTTATGTAACAGTAAGACAGAGAATGTAAGTGTGCACCCACATGCAGTATTTTAGTTTGTATGCTGTTGTAAATACTCCTGTTGTCTGCTGTGTTCAGACTCAAGTCCTGTGTGTAATGCCACAGGACATTCAGTGTCCTTTCTTTAACAGAAGGCCGTTGCTAGAAGCTGCAGCTAGACTGCAGAAGCATTATTTATAGAGGCTAGACCTACAATTCATTTATTTTGGTTTATAAATGAATGTCAAGACATTTATGTTATTGATTTCTGAAGCACTTTCTAAATAATAAAAAGGGAGTTCATATGTATTTACTGCATGTATGCATTGATGAAAAATAAGCCATGTTCAGTAATATAGAAAATTGAGGATGCAACGCATTGGTATGAATCGGGATGCATCGGGATATCGAATTGAATCGTTGACAGGATAATCGTAATCAAATCGTGAGACCAGTGAAGATGCACAGCCCTAGTGTGTACAAAATGCAACAAACTCTAACTGATATCTGCTGGGTCCAGGCACTCTCAACTCTCTCCAGGACATGTCGGGGCCCTGCCTGCCAGTAGCTTTGCCGATATCTGTGTTGATAGGTAATAGATTAAAAGCGGTGAATCAGCTTAGATACAGGAAGCACTCAAACGTTTGTGTGAGTGTATCTAATTTAGCAGTGATTCCATGTCAGCCACAGCTTGTTACAAAAAACATGACTGATAGTGTGTTTAACAAACTTAAACTAGCTTTATTAAATGTCAGGTCTTTGGCAGGAAAAACATTTTTAATCAATGATTTTATCACTGAGCACAATCTCGATGTTATGTTTTTAACAGAAACTTGGATTGAACAAAATAACAATGCAGCTGTTCTTATCGAATCAACCCCTCCCAACTTTAGTTTTATGAGTCAGGAAAGAATGCATAAGAAAGGGGGTGGAGTTGCTATTCTGTTCAATGATTCCCTTCAATGCAGGAAGACATCTTATGGAAACTTTGATTCTTTTGAATATGTGGCCCTTCGGCTGAAATGCTCCTCTCGAGCTCTGTTCCTAAATATCTATAGACCACCCAAATACTGTGCAAGCTTTTTGATGACTTTACTGAACTGCTGTCTATAGTGTGTATTGACTTTGACCGTCTAGTCATTGTTGGTGATTTTAACATCCATGTTGACAACCCCCAGGACAGAGGGGCTAAAGAACTGTTTTGTGTTCTTGATAGCTATGGACTGACTCAGCATGTGACGGAGCCCACGCACAATAAGGGGCACACTCTGGACTTAATTATCTCAAAGGGTGTGAATATCTCTAAGGTTGTGGTGACTGATGTTGCACTCTCTGACCATTCCTGTGTTTTCTTTGAGAGCTCTATTTCTGTTCACAAGAATGTTCAAAAAGAGGTAACCACAAAGCGATGTTTAACTGAAAATACTAGGGAAATGTTTACTCAGGATGTTTCTTCCACACTTGCCCCTGCCAACATCTCAGTAAATGAGCTAGTAGATCATTTTAATTCAAAAATTTAAAATGTTATAGATGCCATTGCTCCAACTAAGGTAAAGGAAGTGTCTGGCAAGAAAATATCTCCATGGAGAAAGGCCATGAGCGTGAGAACAGAGAAAAGAGAATGTCAAAAAGCTGAACGCAGGTGGCGAAAAACAAATCTCCAGGTTCACTTTGAAATCTATAAAGTGTGACGGCCCCTAGGCCTTAGACTCAGGTCCCTGGTTAGCCACTCCCCAAATCAGGAGAGATTGCTGACACCTGATTTGGGTTGACTGCTCAGCTACAAGTATGGGTGCCTGAGCAGTCAGTCTTTCTCTCCTCTTGGTTGGTTTGTTCTTTCGTTATATACTGATGCATGTTCACACACCCACACACTACACACATTACTGATTAACTGACTTCATAGTTAATTTAGTTTCTTTAAATAAATGCACTTCAATTGGAAGAATCATGTGTGGTCTCCTTCCTTTGTCCGTCCTTGAGCCAGGGCGTGACATGGGGGCTCGTCTAAAGTCAAAAGTCAAATTTTGACATACATTTTGTTGGTATGAATTTTCTGTGCTAATTTAGGTTGGAGTATCACACATGGATGTAGTTGTTTTGGAGAGCTTTATTATAATCTAGTTTGGGCCAGTTTTCTTTGAGGTAAATATGCTAAATGTTTGGTGTGGCATGTGACTGGTGTTCTCCACTGTGAGGCCAAGCAGCAGGTTCTAATAGAGAGTCTGTTGTCGGGGGTTGGGTTTAGTGTGACAGAGAAAGTGGCTAGAGCAGTTGTCTCGGGATCACGTCCATGGTTTCTTGTGGGATCGCTGTGTATACAGTTGCCTTCCAGTACCACTGGGTTTCAGTGAATAAATACCCGCCACAAGTATCTGTACGAAGACTAGGTACGAGTTTAGTCAGATAAGGGACATACTCTAATTAGTTTGAGCATGGGGAGTCACCAGTTGTTG